TATATATATATATATATATATATATATATATATATATATATATTTTCAATTATGTCAATCCCAATGAAATAATTGAGGCCTAAGGTATAAGAACTGAAGAAAGGCTGAGGTGAAGTTAATGCGTTTAAATATACATTATATTCTATTTACACAGACATGTTTTCCCTTTGGCATGATTCTAAATTGCAAAAGTGTAAATTTAGAAAGAAAAAAGTCATCTTTTTTAGTTTGAATATTCAGGAAAATGAAGTTACATAGAGCAAATTACATTAAGCAGAATTTAGTTTTTCATGTTGATCAAATTGAGAGAGACTAATATTTACACTTCAAATGCTACTGCATTGTACATTTATAACCCAAAGTGAAATTCAGTTACTCGTCTTGCTAAAAACATTTTTATTATTTTAAATAATAAATATCTATAAGGTGCTATGCAACACACAAAAGAAATATCAAAGCATGGCTTTTCCTATTTAAATGGGTGGGTAACTCCCATGGAGCTGTGTGATCCTTTCAATTAGCTTTAATAAGTATTTTCATCATTCTAGTTTATGATGAGTTACAAAGTTAACAAAAATGTCCAAATAAACCATAAATTTTACCTTCTGAAAATCAATAATCCAGAAATAGGAAACTTGAGTAGATGATAAACATTAAATATCATATATTAATAAAATATCATTCTATTTGCTATTCTTTATCAAGATCTAAATGTGCCAAATAAACCCTCTCAAACCCAGCTGGCAAAAGAGGTGGATAAATACCAACAAAGGCAATAATTTTCATAAAATACAATTAGTAAGTGGGAAGCAAAGAGACAGGCATTTCTATTTATATACAATCATATGAAAGAAGAAGGAAACAAAAACTAGTCATGTGATAATCACCCTCCCTTTGGAATCACTGTCATACATCCTTGTTTTATGAAATAAATCTATATGACAGGAAGTCTCAGAGACAACATATTTAGACATAAAAAATAAATATTAATAATAAGGGAAACAACCCTGCTTACCCTGTCTTCATTAGAAAAAACATGCAACTCTTAAATATCTGCTTTAGTCTCATTCAGAAAATTCACCACTCCACCTCTAATCTCAGCTTACTTACAGCTGAGGGTTACAGGTGACAATCGACAATCGAGGAGAGCATGGTGCCTGTCTGTAAGCACTCAGTAAAAGGGACTTTTGATTAATAGTGTAGAGCAAGTTCATCATCAATACAAAAATACAACAATTCAAAGTGTACTTCTTGTTAACACCACCATTACAAATACAAAAAGCATGTTATATTATTTCTAAGTTTTTGTCATTCAAGACAAAAACTGAATAGCAAATCAGATGTCATATTATTATATATTTCATGAAATTGGTCATTTAGTGGAATATAGATTTTTTCTTCTTTTAAGGGAAGTAAGACCAGTGTAGATCGATTTCAT